AGTCTTTCAAAATAGCTGCAAATGTGCCAGTTTCATAGTAATGTAAATAAGGAACTGAAACAGACACTTGAGATTAACTGCTTAGATTGCTAATTATGTGGTTTTTATCAGAATAGTTTCAAAACCGTTATTCTTGCAGTGACCAATTTCTGCCACAAGATGCCATCATTTCACTAAAAATGGTTTTAGACTTTAGTATTACATAGTTACACAGAAGGTGGAAACAGGGCACATTTTTGGAACAGTTTAACTTTGATTATTCTGTGCAGTATACTGGACACTTTTCAAATGAATATGGTTGATAGTGATGCAATTTAAACAGATTCATATTGGTATAGAAACTCTGGTCATTCAAATATTCCAACTATGAAGTCATCAGTTACAACTTTAGTTTGTATGTTATGTCTAAATATTTAGTTAACTATGTCTCGGAAGACTGATGGAGGCTGTGGCTGACCAGCCTGTTCTCCAGCTAGGTGGTGGTTCTTTTCCAATGTGCAAAAGAAGCAAAAAGAAGGAAAAATGCAAACCAGTATGGTAAAAAACCTGGATGACCTGAAATATGCAGCACTGCAAGATCAATGAAAAGGACGTAAACCTGGGTAGTTGAAATGTAGGGGTGTATGAGAATAACCGCATTGAAAGAAACTAGGATCAGACCCCCAGATCACTGTAAGCAAGTTCTTTAAGAGCCTTAGGTGACAGAACAGCAGGAAAAAAGAGTTGATGTACTACAGTACCTAGAATTAACAGTAGAAATTGGGAGATGTGTGTGAGAGCAACAAAATTATCCATCACTTCTCACAGTAGTGGCTAATATTGAAAGGAAATATTTAGGAAAAATCTTAAATATCACCTTTACCAGTAGTAAAGAGGGGGGGAAAAAAAAAAGCTGACTTTTTTTTTAAAGTTGCTGATAGAGATTTTGAAATGCTGACAAATAATAGTCAGTCATTAAAACCAGACGGTCATGATGGATGATACAAGTGAAAGTAGCTGTACATCACTCAAAATTTGGAGCTCCTAGACCGCACAGCTATACTGTGCTGTACGCATACGTGTTTTTACTCTGTCTAGAAATATGATTGCATACATGCGGTAGCATGAGACGCCCCACTTGCATTTGGCACTTTCAGACCTGCCTTTCTGCCTCTCTACAATTATTTACAAAGAAAATAATTATCTGTTTTTGACTGCTCCCATGTCCACACCTGGCTAGCAGCATATGTGCTATATGACTAAAAGAAACCTAATTTTTCAGCTCTTTCCTGTCTCAGTGGGTGAATATTACCACTGTCCTTTCTGTTCTGCAGGTATGCATTTCTCTGGGCACTCTCTTGAGTGCGGTTTTTTCCTGTTTCACATATTTTAATCTTGTCCAAATTGCCAGTTTTTAATTTCTTAAATTTAGCTACAAGTTTTCATCCTTACAGGTAAAAATTTTTATGCTTGCCCTCGGTGCTGCACCATCCTCTCATTTTGCCTAGAGCAAGGTGGCCTTGCCTGCTTGTGTCTGTCCAGTTAGAGCTGCACAACTTTATTTTTCCAGATTGTTGCTTTGACTGTGCCATTTCTTTCTTTGCGTCTTTCCCATGGTCCCAATATATTAGATAAAACTGCTTGTTGCCAGTTAAAGGACTTTCATGGCCTAAGGTCGTCTCAGGTTTTTTTCCCTCAGCTTTAACAGTGATATGTCTTCATTGATCACTTGTCAAACTGTCAAATAGTTGCATTCGTGTTTGTCTCCCACGCTGCCTACCGTGCACTAGAGTAACTGCAGTTAGAAAACTTTCTTAATTTCCTTTCTGAATTTTCATGTTATTTTTTTTGCCTTGCCTACAAGTGACAACACAATGCTGAACTAAGATAATTTTGCAAGATGTGTGCCAGTACTGTATTACTGAGGTCTTTTGCTTATCCATCCAGTGCTGACGCTTACGGAAAATCCCCTTTTCTTCATGCTTGTACTGTGCTTATTATGTGGGGATGCTCTGAGTACCTAACATCTCAATAAGTATATTTACAATATAAATTAAAAACTTTATATGCAAAAACCAGTGTTGGAATAAAGGGTAATATTTCATGGCCTACTACAGGATTCAATTTGATAATGGGAGAGGTTGAATATGTCAGTTAAACATTAAATTTACAAAATTAATAATTGATTAATTTAGTGCAAAGAGGGCCGTCTGAAACTTTGGGAAGACATAAAAAAGGTAAATGATGGACATGAAAATAGTGAGATACTAGCAAAAAAGATATTTGCAAACAGGGAAGGACTTGTGGGTGATGTGACTGTTGGAGGCTGTCTTGGCTATAGTGATGGTGAAGTGATAGAGTTTTTGATTGTTGAAGTAAGGACGAGGGGTCAGCAGAACCGCTACCTTGGATTTGCGGAGGGCAGACTTTGGCCTGTTTAGGAGCTTGGTTGACAGAGTTCCTTGGGATGCAGTCCTGAAGGGCAAAGGAGTCCAGGAAGGCTGGACATTCTTCAAGAAGGAAATCTTAAAGGTGCAGGAGCCGGCTGTCCCCATGTGCTGCAAGACGGGCCGGTGGGGAAGACAAGCCTGGCTGAACAGAGAGCTTTGGCTGGAACTCAGGAAACAAAGGAGAGTTTATGGCCTTTAGATGAAGGGGCAGGCAACTCAGGAGGACTACAAGGATGTCGTGAGGTTATGCAGGGAGAAAATGAAAAGGGCCAAAGCCCAGCTAGAGCTTAATCTGACTACTGCAGTTAAAGACAATAAAAACTGTTTCTACAAATAAATTAACAAAAGGATGGCTAAGGAGAATCTCCATCCTTTGTTGGATGAGGGGAGGAAACATAGTGACAAAGGATGAGGAAAAGGTGGAGGTATGTAATGCCTTCTTTGTCTCAGTCTTTAATAGTAAGACCAGTTGTTGTTTGGGTGCCCAGCCCCCTGAGCTGAAAGACAGGGGTGGGGAGCAGAATGAAGCCCCCATAATCCGAGAGGAAATGGTTAGCCACCTGCTACACCACTTAGATGCACACAAGTCTGGGGTGGGATGGGATTCACCCAAGGGGGATGGGTTTCACCCAAGGGTACGGAGGCAGCTGGCAGAAGTGCGCACCAAGCCATTTTCCATCACTTTTCAGGAGTCCAGACTCTTCTCAATGGTGCCCAGTGACAGGACAAGGGGCAACAGGCATAAACCGGAACACAGGAAGTTCTATCTGAACATGAGGAAACACTTCTTTACTTTGAGGGTGACAGAGCACTGGAACAGGCTGCACTCAGGTCACAACCACCCTATGCAACACTACAGGCTTGGGGAAGAGTGGCTGGAAAGCTGCCCAGTGGAAAAGGACCTGGGAGTGTTGGTCAATAGCCAGTTGACTATGAGCCGGCAGTGTGCCCAGGTGGCCAAGAAGGTCAGCAGTGTCCTGGCTTGTATCTGTGGCTAGCAGGACTGGGGAGTGATTGTGCCCCTGTATTTGGCACTGGTGAGGCAGCACCTCAAGTTCAGTGTTGGGCCCCTCGCTACAAGACAGATATTGAGGTGCTGGAGTGTGTCTAAAGAAGGCAACGAAACTGGTGAAGGGTCTACAGAACAGGTCTTATGAGGAGCAGCTGAGGGAACTGGGGTTGTTTAGGCTGAAGAAAAGGAGGTTGAGGGGAGACCTTATTGCTCTCTACAACTACCTGAAAGGAGGTTGTAGGCAGATGGGTATTTGTCCCTTCTCCCAAGTAACAAGTGATAGGACAAGAGGAAATGGCTTCAAGTTGTGCCGGGGGAGGTTTAGATTGGTTATTAGGAAAAATTTCTTCACCAATAGAGTTAACAAGTACTGGAACAGGCTGCCCAGGGAAGTGGTTGAGTCACCATCCCTGGAGGGATTTAAGAGACACGTAGATGTGGTGCTTAGGGACATGGTTTAGTGGTGGACTTGGCAGTGTTAACGGTTGGAGTTGATGATCTTAAAGGTTTTTTCCAACGTAAACAATTCCATGATTCAATATTAACTGCAAATATTTGAGATTCTTGATGTATCTCCGGAGGGAACAGAAAGGCAAAACGTAGATGATTGTAATGGAAATGTGTTATGGCCCCTGCTTGGAATGTGTGTTTGTAGTAATTATCTAATTAGCTGCTGGTGTCTAAATTTTAGTTAAGTGTTCTGGATAGTCTGTGTGAGTAACTGTACCTAGGTTTTGTTAGTACCTAAACGATTTGGGGTGACTTAGAAATTAACAGTCAGGTTTCTAGTGTAATTTAGAAATGGTACTTGCAATGATGGAGTAATTATCCAAACCACTGTATTCAAATCTGTCCTTGTGTTTAATAACCTAGGATATGAAGCAGTATCCGAATCTGCAACTCATGAAAGTGTGGTCAGTGCTTCTCACAGATTACTATATTTTTAATGTTTCCTGAGTAGTCTTATTATCAAGCACTAGTTCTAACCTAATTGCTACATCATGTGAGAAACAACAGGATCCCGTGCCCCCGTGGACATCACTGAATGTACATGAATAAGGGCTAAAATGTTTATGTTCCTTTTATCTATGCTGAATAGTAGGATAATAGGAGGAGATACTGGTGTCTGATGAAGCGCTGAGCATGGGTAAAACCAGGTTGACTGGTAGTCTGGAGAGGATTGAAGTGATTTTCATATTTACTCCAAGTTGCTTTAATGCTGTTTTTTTTCCTGCTTTTTTCTCCTTGAGTATGGATTTGACCTTCTACTTCATACCTTCTGACAGTCTATGCTGAGACCAATTGGAAGATGAGATTTTTATGCAATGTGTGACCACCGCATTAGGTGGAAGATACTATTGAAAATACATGAGTCAAATGGTTTATGAATTACAGTGGGTGACCAGTAGACTTAAAAGTGGAACTGAAGGTGGTTGTTTTTGTGACCTGTAGAGGCTTGAGAAAACCCTATGGGACACACTCTTCATCTACAGACTGGAGACGCATTAATGATTAATGCCTTAACAGCAGATAAGCTTCTGTCTTGACAGCCTGCATTGGAAAGGCAGTGAATGAAAGGTTATGGAGAGCATTTGAGTCCTCAGAGTTTCAGTTCAGGTTAAAAAAAAAACCCAAACAAACCAGCCATTTTCAGATATACCAAAACTGTTATAAAAATATGAACCAGGTAAGCAAAATGCACACACTCCTTTAATGTCCTCTGCACAAGCTTCTTTAGAACTAACAAGGTTATGTTTTCTCTGAATAACTGCAACCTGTTGTTAACTTACCAGACATAATATATGTATAGCATCTGTGATGATCACAAAAGTTTTTTCCTAGTTAAAATAGATGTTACATTTTGTTGTGTCACTGAATTACGGGATTTTTGCTTAATTAAATTCATCTCTGCTGTGCTGGGCTTCTCAAGGGAGAATATTTAAGAACATCAATTCTTATTGAACTGTTGGAGCAAACCCTGTAAGGCAGCAGTTCACCCTTCTTGTGAAGTGGACATGACAGCATTCATCTATAACTAGCTTTGTACTAACGTCACAAAATTTCCCCTTTTGCAATGAATTTGGCGGTTTGCTCCTTTGTGGAAAAAAACTGTGGAAGCCACTTAAAGCAAGAACTGTCAGGACTACTTTGGTACTTTAAGGCTGAACAGTGCTATCTAAATAGGAATAAACTGCCAATTGTAGGTAAGTAGTAATTTGGGCCTTATATTCTTAATTTAGCACAGAGAAAGTGCCTTTCACATACTATTAGCAGAAAAAAATGGAAATGGCAGATTGGGGTTTAAGCATTTTGTCTGTGATTTTTAGGTCAAGTCAACTAGAAGCTTTTCAGCCAAATACCCTGTGGGAAATTAATGTCTGTAGTGTAATATACATTTCGTAACATATTAAGAGCTTGTAAAAATCAGATTGCAGTTGTTAGACACTTTGAATTAATTCTTGAGGTCAACTAACTAACAAATTAATTTAGATGTGACTTTATACTTACACTATAATGTTCTGTGCACTTCTTTAAGGAGATAGTCATTATAGCCCAAAAAGGCTAAACTGTTATTCTAATATTGGTGTAATTATTCTGATTGAATAGTTATGTTAATATAGGTAGAAGGTAGAGTAGTTATTAGCAATTTTAAATCCTAGAGTAATAATGGTAGTGGATGGATGTGTTGTTACATAGTGAAAATAGGACAGAATTAGTTCTTTTAGTTCTGTCATAGGTTAACCCCAGTAGGCAGCTCAGCACCATGAAGCCACTTGTTTACTCCCTCCAGCAGGACGGGGAGGAGAATCGGAGGGGTACAAGTGAAAAAACTCATGGGTTGAGATAAAAGAGAGTTTAACAGGTAAAGCAAAAGCTGCACATGCAAGCAAAGCAAAACAAGGAATTCCTTCACCACTTCCCATCGGCAGGCAGGTGTTCAGCCATCTCCGGGAAAGCAGGAGTCCATCATGCATAACAGTTACTTGGGAAGACAAATGCCATCACTCTGAACAAGGATTAAACAATCCTCTGACAAATCTAATCAATACTCCCTACCGACTCTCACAATACTTTAATTGCTAGTAGGAGAGGAACAGAATCACTAAGGTGAGAAGGCACCTCTGGAGATTGTCTGCTGCAACACCTCTGCTCAAAACAGGGTTAACTAGGATTTACCCAAGGGCACGTGCAGTTGGGTTTTGAATATCTCTGAGGGTGGGGACTCCAGAATCTCTCTTGACAACCTGTCCAGGTGTTTGACTAGCCTTATGGTTTAAAAAACCAAACCAAAACAAACCCACAAACCACAACGCTCTTTCTTGGGTTTCTTGTATTTCAGTTTGCACCAGTCTATTCACTGGGCACCACTAAGAGGAGTCTGGTTCTGTCTTCACTATTTCCCCACAACCACCCTCGTATGTCAAAGACCTTTGATGCTGATAAGAGATGAGAGTCTGTATTGCATTTTCATGACAAGGTTTTGGTGGTAGTGCTACAGGGGTGGCTTCTCTGAGAAGCTACTAGAAGCTTTCCCCATGTGTAATAGAGCCGATACCAGCCAGCTCCAAGATGAACCCACCGCTGGCCAAGGCCGAGCCCGTCAGTGATGATCGTAGCACCTCTGGGATAACGTAGTTAAGGAGAAAAAAATAACCCCACCAGGAGCAATTTCAGCCAGAGAGAGGAGTGAGCATATGAGAGAGGAACAACTCTGCAGACATCAAGGTCAATGAAGGAGGGGGAGGAGGTGCTTCAGGCACTGGAGCAGAGGTTCCCCTGCAGCCCCTGGAGAAAGACCATGGTGAGGCAGGCTGTCCTCCTGCAACCCATGGAGGTTAACAGTGAGCAGATATCCGCCTGCAGCCTGTGTAGGATGCCACGCCACAGCAGGTGGAGGCATCTGAAGGAGGCTGTGACCCCGTGGGGAGCCCACACTGGAGCAAGTTCCTGGCAGGACCTGTGGACCCGTGGAAAGAGGAGCCCACGCCAGAGCAGGTTTGCTGACAGGACTTGTGACCCCGTGGGGGACCCACGCTGGAGCAGTTTGTGAAGAACTGGAAAGGACTGATATTGGAGAAGTTCATGGAGGACTGTTTCCCAAACTGGAGCAGGGGGGGAGTCTGAGGAATCCTCCTCCTGAGGAGGAAGGAGCGGCAGAGACAACATGTGATGAACTGACCACAAGCCCCATTCCCTGTGTCACTGAGGGGGAGGAGGTAGAGAAATCAGGAGTGAAGCTGAACCCAGGAAGAAGGCAGAGTTGAGGGGAAGGTTTTTAAGATTTGGTTATACTTCTCATTATCCTAGTCTGATTTGACTGGTAATAAATTAAATTAATTTTCCTGAATTGAGTCTGCTTTGCCTGTGATGGTAATTAGTGAGTCATCTCCTTGTCCTTATCTCGACCCAGGAGCCTTTTGTTATATTTTCTGTCCCCTGTGCAGCTGAGGAGGGGAGTGATAGAGTGGCTTTGGTGGGCACCTGGTGTCCAGCCAGGATCAACCCACCACAGAGTCCAAGACTGAAATGCAAGGACAGGGAACTGCAGGGAATACTGAACAGAGCTCTTTTGACACCTCCCATTGCGCTACCAGCTCATTTGTTGTGCCAGTGGGCTCTGTC